GCTCATAATTTCTGGCTCCCATTTGCCCTGGGAATAGTGTTGAGTAAGTGCTGAGGGTGGGGGTGGTATTCTTCTTATCCTGCTATAAAGATTTTCTACTGATGGCCAAATGTGGAAGTTCACTTTAGTGGCTGGAAGCATGAGGCATCCAGCCCAGAGATTACAGAGTTACTAGAAAGCTTGTAATTTTATGGAGTCTATGAACCCGGTAACTGTGAGAGAGGGACAATTTTGCACTGACCTTTTGAAAATGAAATATGCAGCTGTATTTAAATCAAACATTTCATGACAATACATTTAATTTGGATTATATTCATTTTTTCAACAGAAAATAGGAATGAAACAATGTATTTTGTTCACATTTCGATACTTTTTGTATTTCAGACTAAAAAAAATAAATTTGTCTCTATCCAAGTGAAAAATGTCACAAATTAAAATAGCAAATTCCAGAGATTCTTGGATTTTGTGTGGCACCCTTCTGAACTTTCTAACTGTTTCCCATGTTTCCCCACTTTTTCAAAATGTCAAAAGCACCTTTTCAGGGAGAAAATAGCTGTCATCTTTACCCTTAGCTTCTGTAACCCTGGAGGGCACTCCAAAGCCACAGGCTCTTTCCTGCTGTTCTGAAACACATGCTCAAAGTTTATTCCTGGCCCACTAGGATTCAGGATGGTCTGTATGATCTTTCTTTGGTGCTTCCATCATAGATGTGGCTAAATAATGATGCCAACCAGAAACCGTACTGCACTTCACAACCTCTCTCTCATCTACAGGCAATCATTTACTGGGAGTTAGTGACTGCCATAAAATACTGAATTAAAAGACTGTTTTTTACCTGCTCCTGAAACAAGAATAAAGTAAGCAGATGCATCACTGCCTGGAATAACTAACAAACAGTCATCTTAAGCTGTTCCCTCTTTCCCTGTCTTTGATAGTGCATTTATGAATTATGTTGTTTGCATTTATAATTATGGGACTGAACAGATGGTGGAAGGCTTATTTCAGAATGATGTGTTCATTAAAATAACCTACTCTGATCTGCCAAGTGATTGTTAACTGTAATCCCAATTTGATATTGAAAAGAGATATTTATTCTTCCTCTGTAAATCCATCTGAAAGAAATGGAGCTTTGAGAAATGGACACGATATTGAATGTGAAGCTACAATAACAGTGCTGCATATATTCCAGATGGGAAAGCACTGAAGAGTTGTGCAGCTGTGACAGAAAGAAATATGCAGGAAAGGATAAATTGTGAATCAACACAATTTTCAAATCAAAGAAAAGTTTCAATTCCTTATTCAATTTGGAAGTTCAATTTCACTTAAAATGTGGCTCCAGCCAGCTTCTACCTATGTGCAGACTCTTCCCACAGTCTATTGCCTTAGGTTGTTGGGTTCAATAACGGTAGTTTCCATTATTAAAAATGGGGATCTCTGTTCAGGCAAAACGTAAATCTGCAGTGTATGACATCTAACAGAAACAGTTGGTCTTCCTCTAATCCCAAAAAGTGTTTACTTCTGCTGCTGCTTCTGCAAGTAAGAGGTTTTGTGATGTAACTGGGTGCAATTATTACCTATTTGCTTTCCTTCTTGGAAATCTTGTTTTACCAGCTTCATCATCTTGCAAAGCCTATGGATGGATCTGGAGACAATTCTGTGCACTTCAATTCCTTTGCAGTATTTTATTCCTGAGACCTCCTGCCCCGCTATTTTCCCACTGAGACTTCAGGATATGGTCTGAACTCGGATGAGAGCAGAGATATAATGTCAAGATTTCTTTGTTGCGATTGAAGGAGTCTCCATTGCTCAATTCTGGCCATTATCCAGGTTCTTATTCCTGGCCTTCACATCTTCTTGCTCATTTGTCCTACCCAGGGTACCTCAAGATGCCACTTACGGCAGATCTTCTTCACCAAGCAAGCAGCCTGAGGGCTGTGCTGCTGGTGAGCTGCTCAGAAGCATAGTTTACAGCTGTCCTATGGCTGAAAGCTTTGCTCTTCTGTGCCAAAGCAATTGGCATCACTTACACATGAGGTCACCAGAATTTTGCAGGCAAAAGTCAAAGGAAATAGTTGAGAATGAGAGGCAAAAGTGCAGGACTCCTGTCTGCATGTCTGAGCCCACTGGGAGCAGAACTGGAGATGGGAGGGATGGGAGACCAGTAGAAAAGTTGATTGTGTTCACTAAAAATAACCAGAAATACTTGCATTTTCTGGGTTGCCTTTGCAGACATTGTCACAACCTTCAAAGATGCAAATTGGCTGCACAAAAGCTGTTAACTGAGAAGTTTTCTGGGAGTTTCTAGTTGCATATGAAGGAAGAAATATAGTTTGAAATGTTTCATTTGGAGCACTGGCAATCAACAAGCAGAAAAAAGATAAAATGAGAGACAGGCAGATGAGTGCTTGCTCATACAAAATTGCCAATAACACAGTGGTTAGATCAGTCACCTTGATAAAAAGCAGAGAAAGGCCTTAAACATGGAGTTGTCTCTTTTTTTTTTTCTTTTTCTTTTCTGTCTCATGAGAAGTTGCAGACTTGCTCCAGATCAGAAATGGGGAAAATATTTGAAACTGGGAAAACTTGTGGAGCATGGGAAAAGCACATTTTATACCACTTTGATTTTAGCTTGAAACTCATTATTTTTGACCAAGCAAGTAAGTCTTTATAATTGCATGTTTCTCGGGTATTTTGACCTCCCTTAAACATCCACTCCAACCTGTTAAATCTCCTAGTTGTAAATTAATTTAGCCTGTACATTTTTTCGGGGTATGCATTGTCTTCAAAAGGAGCTCACTAGAGTTCAGCACAACAGATTTCTGCTTTAATTTGGACTACAGTGTGCTACTGTCAGGAAAACCTGAATAGAAGTCTAATACATACTTTTCAGAGTTTTGTTTTTGCTGAAATGTAATGTTTGGTTTAATTTGAAATCTTTCATTTGGAATGCAAGCAGCTGAGAAAAAAGTTACTATAAAAATATTAATGAAGGATACTTCTCAAAAACAACAAATTGCAATACCTTTAAGTGAAAAGTTTTGCTTCTCATTTTACAGAATTATTGACTTTTTTTTTAAAGGCAAATTCAGACACACTGGCACAAACTCAGGAAAACTTCCAGTGCCACAAAACCTGCAGATCTACTTCTTTTCAAATTTTTAAGAATGTCACAGTTAAAACTATGCTCCTTGCCGGACTCTGCCATTCCCAAATTCCCTCTATCAGTCCAGGAGGGAGTTGCTAATCAACGGCTGGCAATAAACCCCAAATCCCAGTACAGGGATGTCCAAGGACCCAGTTTCATTTCAGTTAGGTGTAATTTTCCCGAGTTGTGTGATGGCAAGTGTGGGGGAGTGTATTACAGGCTTCAAACCTACTTCTGCAGCAACATTAACCCCTCAGTGTCTGAACATGTGTGCAAAATCTCTACCCTGGTGACAACGTGTCCTTCGTTTTCTGGGCAGGGGGGTGGATTTAGGTGGCAAGGCCCCAGGGAGCAGGGAGTTAACAGCTCGGGTACCCCAGCACAAAAGCAAACCCTCCCCAGCCCAGCCCAAGGACATCTGCAAAACCTCACCTCAGTCTCCAGTCAACCTCAGGACAACAGGAACCACCTCCTGCCAGTTCAAAAATGGAAGCAATAAATAATGTAAACAGGTGTATTGGGAAAGGATTACTAAACAGAGAGCAAAGGCAGCTGTGCACTTTGTGATGCTGTGGTCACCTCCGTTAATATGCCTCCAGCCCAGCTGAAAGCTTTGCCATGCTTGGGCAGTTGCAGGCATTTTTTATTTTTTTTTTTCATTTTTTCCTCTGCTATTAATATGTCCCTCTATGTAAAATTATTTCTCCTGCCAAGGTTAAGGGGACAGAGGCTGCTGAGGCAACATGAAGAGGCTTTTGAAAGTGCAGGAGATGCTGCCACATGAGTCCTTTAGCCCATTAGTGCTTCAGCTGCAGCTGGGAAAGGCTGCCTGTGCGCTCTGTCAGTTCGTTATTAATGAGCAGTACCTACTAATGCCATCCAAACCCTCCCAGAGTTTCTGTACCTGTGAGGAGCCCTTTGCCCTTCGCCGGATTAACTGCCTGCAGGCTGATGAACTTGAGTTTGCAGGGAGCTTAGGGAAGAAGGATGGATACGAGCATTCCGAGCAAGGACGATGGTTAAAAACCAGGGGAATAAATGAGGGGTAAAACAGCTGCAGAACTGCAAGCTGAGCTGCTCCGGCTGGTGCAGAGGAGCCCCGGGGATGTGTAACCAGTGTAGGCAGCTTTACACGGATACTGCAAGCATGAAGGGTGGGCAGGAGCATTTCTGGGAAAAAAAGCGGATCCCTTCCAATTCCCGGTGGTTCTCGGTTGTCCAAAGGTCTCCAGGCACCGTCTCCAGGAAGAGGCTCCCTTCTGGAAAGCGACCCGGTGGCTGGGAGCTCCGATAGAGGGGTGGCACACACACCATCAGGGTGCTGCTTCTCCTCCTCCTGGGCCATGCTCTGCCCAGGAGATGGATGCAGTTAGCTTTTGTGTTCAGAGCCAGGAGCTCTGCCCCAAAATTGCACTGCTTTCTGCTTAGCATCGGGGCAGGCGTCATCCCACAGAAGAGAGCTGGACACCGGGGCTCTGCTCACCAGGACAGGAATAAACAGGGAACCTCAGGCTCTGTGGAAACAGTGACTGTTTTTCATTACAGTTGGGGAAGCCAAAGACCAGCAAATTTTTGGCTTTGCTACCTTAATGAACTGTACAAGTTGGTGTGAGGAGTAGGTCTGCAGGGAAAGAAAGTGGGAAGATTACAAACAGCACTGCATCTCCTTGGTGTTTTCTCCCTGGCTCTTGCTGAGTTCCCAGAATAATGCTGGAGATTGTTGTTCCACACAGCTCCCCTCTGCGGTGCTGAGAGCTAATCCAACCAGTTAATTAAAGAGTCCATTGGACTGTCAGAAACAGCAGGAGATGCAGAAGCAATTATCTCCAAATTGGTCATCATCACAATTAAAGTACCATTTGGCAAGTATGCGAACAGCCTGCAGCAGGGTCCCTTTATAGGTGGTAATGCCTTTTCATTATTGGGCTTTATTGCTGGGTGGTGGTGTTTATGATCTGAGTAAAGCTGTCAGGTGAAATGACAGTGACACTTGCCCCCAGTTCTGGGAGGAGTCGGATGCAGAGGCAGCCGGGGAGGCTATTTGTAATTGAGCTTGGAGCTTCATGTGCCAGAATATACAAATCCCACCAAAGGAACTTGTAGGCAGGAGAGCTGTGCGACTAATTTGCTGCAGATAACTCATTTAATGCATTTAAACCTTTTAAATTTTTTTCCTGCTCATATATTATGGCTTCCTCAGATACATTCATTACTCAAACCTACTTGACAAATTTCTCTTGAAACATTCAGCCCACACATGCTGGTTCCAAGTGCCATTGTCTGCTCCTGGTCGGTAGGATAAATCCCGTGGTGCTTGGCTTCTCCGCTGGGCGAGGGCTGAGGCACATTATTTGTGTGTTCGTGTAGGTGAGGTAGGTGCTTTCTTTCTGAAACTTGCTTTCCATAGATACTGATGCCTGGAAAATTAATTGTATTTTCAGAGAGCAGATCAGTTAAGACACAGTGGTGTAAAAAAAGCAGGGCTGTTACAATCCTACCCGTTACCCAACATTAAATCAGTGCCATGTCACTGGCAAGTAGCTTCGAACTTTCATTTGAAGGGAGAAACTACAGTATGTGAAACAACCCTGGTAACACAAAAGCCCACCAGTGGAGGACTCCTTTAACAGTTTCCTGGAGATGTTGGTAAGGTTTTTAGGAATGATGTGCCAGTAGCAGAGAAAACCACCACCCCTGCAGTGCAGCTTTCGCACCCTGTATACGAATGGTCTTTCCTCCTCTCCTACCCATCCTCTTTCCCCACAGGGTAAACAGCTGGAAGTGCTGAGCTCACTGCCAGAGGCTGCAGACAGACACTTTGTGCCACAGGAGATCCTGGGACATCTTAATGACTTCTCGTTAGCTTAATGCACCTTTGTAACAAACGGCACCACCTGCTAAATTGCTGATGTTGCACAACTGTTTTCTGACTACTGCAGAAGAAGAAGAAGAAAGGTTTGGCTCTTTGGGTATCCTGTCAGCGTTCAGTGCCTGTCTGTTGTGCTCCTGAGCAAGTCCTGAGTTGCTCTGAGCTATGTCTGCTTTGTTCAGAGGGAGGGGGATCTCCTGGCTCTCGTCCTCTGTATCACCATCTGCAGCAGAGACGTTGCCACACGAGAGGTCTCTTTGGTGGATTGCCTCACACAGTGTGCCATATCTGACTTGCTATAGAAAATTAAAATTACGCTCTGACTTGTATGCTTTATGGTCGTCTAATCGGAGTGTCTGTTCAGTGTTAGATGCAAAGTGTCTTTACTTGTTTCTTACATCAAGTCTGTATCTTGTTGGTAGAACTAGCACATTTTTTGAAATTTATGATCATTGTTTAAAGTGATGGAGTACTAAGGGAGAATGTTCATGGATATATCTGCACATACAGCGACTCGTATTAAGGCAACTAAGCCTGACCATGTTGTAAAGCAGCATCTAATACATTGGAGGGTAAATTCCTCTGGGACTATTATTCACCAGGACAAATTCAGACAGGCAGTACAGTTTATACCCTGGCTTTCATTTTGAGCCCATGGCTGATCTACTGGATCTAATGGATACATCATTTTCAGGATATTCATCTACTTTCAGATGCTATTTCAGTGGCATTGTAAGCACCTTAATTAGGAGCCTGAGTTCCAAGTATATTCAATGGAGAAAGAGATACATCCAGATTAATAATGCCAAGGAAACTGATGTCACAGTATCAGTATTTGAATATGTAGCCAATGATCTTTTTTCTAGTGGTTATTCAAGCCAATCCCAAGGCTGATGGTACTTCCTTCCCCTCTGGTAACAGCAGGATAACTGCTATATTCTTCTATTTTCCAAGGCTTTTTTCTTTTCTTAATCTTTATTGGGATGCAGATGTTTTAGGTATGTCTTAGATGTTTGTTACTAAGAGAAATAATATATCTACATCTCTAAACACTTGGGAAAGTCTTAACAGAGACCTGATTTCCCCAATATGCATTTGGACTAGGGAAAAACACATTTTTACAGTTATTTTTGCAGCTTCTTACCTCTGGACCTCCTCAAAAAATGGTCTGGTTCAGCTTTAGTTTAAATGAAATGGACCACCAAGAGAAGATCCCTGGCTTGCTTTGTACCCTCCAGGGGGTTTGCAAGCAAGAATGATTTGATGTGAAATTCTAGAAAGGTGTGCTGTATCAGTTTTGTTGCAGTTAGCCAGCATTTTTGCTATCACCTCAGATCTGCTTATTCCTACTACACACTGCACACCACTTAGGGAAAAGAGCTGTATGTCATTAGCAAACTAAATCAACAGTTCTGTTCAGAGAGCCATGTTGAGATGGGCAGCAGCAAAGGGGCTGGTAGATGAGTCACAGGTAAGAGACAGTGTGGAATTCCTTACAACTGAATTCTGCTTTTCCATAGCTGGCCCAAAACCTGGAAAAATATCAGAAAGGTATATAGATGACATGATACCTCCAACAGACATGAACCTGAACAGCACTGGTTTAGTAAGACATACTAGAATTGGCACTAAACCCAACTTTGTAATAGACAGAGACTACTTTCTTTTGTAAGTGGAAATGCCCTGTAACGTTGGTCTTGTTTCCATCTTAAACAGCATTCACTTCCCATGCTAATCTCAAATGATTCTTTAAATGTTTGCATTGAAGACATTAAGTGAAGTGCCTTCAGCTTAGTCCACCCACAGATGATCAGTGTTTCCTAGTTCTTTGGTCTTGTTTCCTCTCATTACCAGCTGCACCTTAGATACATGAAAACCAACAGGTTCTTGGTTTTCAGGGATTGCCTTGGCTGCATCAAATTGAAGATTTGGTTTCCTGCCATGGAGCAAAGTAGGGATTCACATTTGTTTAATGTCGGATCCAGACATTTGGAAGATGTACTGTCTTAAAATACACTTTGGGGTTTTCAAGAACTCAGTTTTCATAAGCCTGTCCTTTTAACTATCACTAACAAATCTTTCTTTATGGTTTTCTACTGACAGGTACACTGTTTTACGTAATGGACATCATCAGGAACACGAGAAGCTTCCCATCCACAATGACCCTGAATCACAGGAATCCTGTTTCTAATCACAGTCCTTGAAGAGGAATAGACTAGCTGAAGGAACAGATTCCTTTTAGGATACCCAAAGAATTCATGGACCGCAGGATTTTATGAAAACTCATTCATCTACATTGTCATGGTGCCTCTTGTACTAACTTCATATGAATGTCCACCTGCACCTGTGCAGATCGATGGGGGCACGGAATGGTACACAAGCAGAACAGCTGGGGAGACTTTCCTGTATCTGCAAGGACAGCTGGACTATATGGCTGTGTCAGAACTTTACTCCAGGACTGAGCTGATTTCTGTCGATGTAAGGAAATGACACAGATACAAACTACCCAACGTGGGGACTTCGGTTATTCCTTTCCAGCTGCCTTCTGTGTACAAGCCACCTCTCTGTCCTGTGGTATCATGATCTTAAAGATTACAAGTTCTGGCTAAAGCCCTAACGTGATGTGAGACTAAATGCCTGCCTGCAAGATCCTGCCCACCAGTGAGCAGATGCTGTCAGGAGAGAAACAGCACTACGTTTTCTTTAGCAAAGTAAGAGGCCATGTTTGCCTTTTGATTGTAGTTACTGGTGAAAGGTCAGCATGAGCTGCTGATTCACCTTCCCCTGCAGAGCTTTCTTTGTAAATGCTTCTATTGTGTTTCCTGGCCAAGTTCATTGGTAGAAAACTCATAGAGCGTATATAGTGCTGACAAGCTGGAGTGGAACCTACAGAGACATTCCACACCTAACAGACACCCCTGCAAGCACTGCTTCAATCCAGCCCAGTTGCTAAAAGGCAGTGGCCATCCTCTGCTATTTGGAGGCCAGGGGATGGGATGTGGCCCTCAAACCCCAGGCAAGCTGCCAGTGCTGTCCTCATCTAAGCAAACTTTGGGCATTCTTATCAAGAAGAAGGGTTGGCCAAGAGACAGTCAGTCTGTAATAGATCACTAAGTGCCATCTTGAAAAATATACCATCTAAAAAACTTTTCTAGCTACATTAGGAAGACAGAGCTCTACTTACATTTTCCATCTTTATTTTTTTATGAGTTTCTGTTCTCTTCCAGTTGAGGCAAGAAGTTTCAAGACTTTCAAATATCACCATATGCACATCTCTGTTTGCAAAGATCTCGGTCCTTAGCTGCTTCCCGCATGTAGATGTTGCTGTGTTCCTTGAGAGCTGCTTCCACCTTTGCATGGAAAGGGTTGGCAAGGCTGTAGACATAACAACTTTGGGAAAATTATTTTCATGCAGTGGGAAATATGCAGGATCAAGACTATAGGCTTCTACCCTTTTTAGATGAAGATCTAACCCAGAGACACTACCCTGAGCCTAGAAAATAAAACTGTTATATTGTGTAATCCTGTACAGATATTTTTAATGTAAAAAGAAAAGGTGACATTATTTATTATTTTTTATCAGGAACACGTGGGTTTTTTCATTAAAAGCTTCTACACTTAGGAGCTTAGCATTATATGTATTATTATTTAGTAATATTTCTGTTGCTATGTGACAGGTATTTACTGTAAACAAAGAAACAAATCCTGCTTTGAACAAACAAAAGTGTTGCTCAGTAGGAAAAAAAAATTGTGCATGATAAGAACAACTGGCTTCCTTGCCATGGTGTCTGACTTCTTTAAATACTTCTTCCACACAGAAATCACTGATAAAGCTTCACATCGTTTTCCTTTAGGATTCAAAAGGACACTGGGCAAAACCAGCCCTAATTAGGAGCAGCCAGACACTTAACAATGTAGAAAACTGTCAGCAGTTAGAAAGAGACAAACCATAGGTGTTTGTGGTGATAGGTGCTGATATGAAGAACATGAGCTGTACGAAAAGAGAGGGTGAGGCATTTTGAGCCATTTCCTGATTTATCATTAGGAACAGTTCACTAATGACCTGCTTTTTACAGTTTCCAAAAGAACTCGTTATCAGTTCAACTCTATTGTTAACACCAAAACAGGTGAAAAAAAAGTAGGCCATGATTGAAAGTTTTGGAAAAAGTCTATCCAGGGCTGCTTCAATCCTATGATCTACACACCTCTGTGGAACTGCTCGCATGCGTTTTTGTCTGGATTTGGGTATGCAAAACTGCAGAACAGGTTGTCTTGGTTTCACCTTAAGTATCAAATTTCATAAAGAAATCCTAGATGACCTTTCCTCTGTCCCCATTAAAAGGCATCAAAACATTGGTGTGAAAATTCTTGGAGTCATATGGAACCAGCAGCATGGGGATGCTACAGTGATGGTGTTCTTTGTTTCCGTTGTTGTTCTTGAAGTGTTGTTTTCTCCTATATTTTTATGTGCTTTAGTAATATATCTCTTCTAAATTTAAAATGAACTTCTCAACACTGAATTTTACTCATGGGCAATGTTCAGAAGGCTCTGTCAATGGGATCGGTAGCTAACTAGCCAAAACGGTCAACAGGTCCAACTGGAAAAAAGGCTCCAATTCCAAACACCATATTTGAATGAAATACCAAACACAAAATGTCCATGTTCTGTGTTATTTTTGGCTAATTGCTCATTGGACTCAGTAAACCTGTCATGAACCACCTGGCAGCTCCTGCTTAATAAGTCAATTATCTCAGCAATGCTTCTGTGAAGCCAGGAAATGACATTGTCCATCATCAATAATGTTAGAATTTCTATGGAAAAGAAGCTGTCTCATGGAAAGGCCCTGTACTTGATTTCCTTTGCTAGTGGTAGCTGCTCCTGGAGCCTCTGAGTTCACCATCCCATTGACCATTTTGGCTAGTGGTGTGTATTCAGCCTGTGCTGAATAATGTGTAACACATTGGCTGTTTCCAAAAATAAAAAATCCTCTATGTACATTGCGGTAAACTCCAGCTCACTCTCATTTCTTGTACTGTTTTCACTCAAAACATAAAATGCTACCAAGTAATAATTTCCACCTGCCTCACAATATACTCAAACATCTATAAAAGCAAGGGAGAATCTGGCCCCATTGCCCCTAATGTTTATCCAGCAGAGCAATCCTGCCTCCTGCACCGAGTTGTCATGAACAATTTTGCTTCGATTGTTACTGAGACTTCTTTCTCCCTTACCTGCGCTGTGTCCACCTCATCTCTCACTATCTGCTCCAAGAGATGTCACTGCTACGGGCATCACGATCAAGACAGGTATTTGCAAATAGAGAGTCAGATATAATTTTGCATGGCTCTGTTTCTCTGAGTTTCCCTGTGAATTTGACTGAAAAAGGATGCTTCTTTCCTCCTTCCTTCCTTCCTGTCTCTTTCCCACCATCTCTCACAGATTCACTCTAATAACCATATATTTATTTCTTCACATACATACACTAGTACTCATCAGCAAATTATCACACCACTACATTTATGGTGTGGGAACATTTTACAGTTTTTTGAATGCAGTAAGCCTCAGAAGTGTTATGCACGATGCCTGCTGTAGCTGTTTTCTTGGATTACGAGTGATTACACTTTCCCTCGCCAGAGATAATGTGCTAGAAGAACAGCTCGCTAATAAGAAATTGGCTGGCTGGGCCTTTGCTAAACTATCTTCAGGAGGCTGATCTGTCAACACAGTTGTATTTCCATATTTCTGTGTTTTTCTAGGCTCCAGAAGCATTTCTGAGATCTTGGATGACATCTGTTAGCAGGGCATGTGCCCAGACAAGCAAACCCGAAGATGCATTGAGGTTACTCGTGCTGAAGGGTGGAAGCAGAGCAACAACAGGCTGACTACTTCCAGAGGCAGATTGAAAACCTAGCCTAACACTCAAACTCTGTGCCATCTGACTTATCAGTGGGCCCTAGACAGTGTCAGGGTGCACAACACCAGGAGGCGAGCCATCCTTTCTACTGAGCAGCTTTCCATGCCTCTGATAGTCAGTTCACTCGGACAGAAACCAAGTCACAGCCATGCGGCAAAGTAAAATTCAGAGACTTAATAAACATGTCACCAGTGGGAAACGATGGTCATAAAACAGAAGCTGCAAGGAGGAGTGCAAAAGAGGCCATACACTTTAATTAGCTGATGATCTAGCAAAATTTGGACACAGTGCCTGCAGTATGATATAGGAATATCTAACAAATTTTGACAGCCGAAGCTCAAGGATGTTGTAAAGAGATGCTGTACATAACACACTTCTACATGTGTATCTCCAACACTATCTGTGATTATCTTCAACACTATCTGTGATAATTACCAATGGCAACCAGAAGAGAAAGAAGAAATTATAACCACCTATTTCTTCTCCCTCCAGACAGTAGAAGGTCCAAGTCCTTCCACAGAGAATGAGTACCTGACTGGCTAAGAAAAGGGAGAGGGAAAGATCCCATTTACTCCTAGAACACACCCTTCTGCCACACAAACTTGTACAGCTCCTAAAAGGGAAGATGCCCTGGTCAGAGCAGAATTTTGTGGAAACAAACCTTGAAAAGAAAGAATTAGCACAGGGACACCATGCTAAACTAGGTGATACAAACAGCCGTCTGTATGCTCAATTCATAACCTCATCTGTCCCTCCCAAAATACTCCAACATTAAGAAAGTCTGAGAATACCAAAATAATCACAATAAATATGCAGTACATATTCAGGAAAGTAAATGGAAAAGAAATCTTAAGTAGCCAAAAGGTTACCAGAACACCTAATTTTTAAAGGTTAAAACATAGCTTCCATATGGTCAAAGAACTTATTTTTTAAAAATGTTTAAAATTATATAAACAGTTCATAAAAGATTTCTGTTCTTATCAAAATTGGTTTAGTCAAAGCTAATCCATTGTGTTTGTCACAACACAGGGAACCCCTATGAAGCTCATACTATGTGTTTCTTTTCACTCTCTACAACTACTTGAAAGGACACTGTAGAGAGGTTGGGGCTGGTCTCTTCTCACAGGTAATTAACAATAGAACGAAAGGGAACGGCTTCAAGCTCCAACAGGGTAGGTTTAGATTGAACATTAGGAAGGAATTCTTCACAGAGAGAATGGTCGGGCATTGGAACAGGCTGCCCAGGGAGGTGGTGGAGTCCCTGGCTGTGTTTAAGGGACGTTTAGATGCGGTACTGAGGGATATGGTGTAGGGGAGGACTTTATAGAGTAGGGTAGATGGTTGGACTCGATGATCCCAAGGGTCTCTTCCAACCTCAATGATTCTATGATTCTATGATTCTATGATTTTTTGCAACCTGATAAAATATTACGACTACAGTGATCCCATGATACTAGTGGCAAAAATACTCCCTGCAATTAACACTTTATACAAGTCTTGTATTATTTTTCAGTTATATAAATATCCAAATTCCACTGTTAAAGCAGGGAAAATATTAGTTTGCATTCCCATCCATTACTTGCCAATTTTCAGCCAAGGGAATAAACTTACAGAAATGAAACATTTAAAATTGACACATATGGGTCATGAATAGAAACCATAGAAAATGTTTGGATTTCAAGCATTCCTAGTACACTCCTGAACATCATAAAGTAAAGAATAAAAGGGGATGAAGTTGCCTTTGCTAAGTAAGTAGATGTTATTTTCTTTAGTGTGCCTCAAAGTATTGCTTTTAAAATCAGAAAATAGCATGGACTACATGACAGATTTTCTAGCACCTTACCATCCAATAATGCATCCTGAGGAATAGGAGAAAATACTTTATCTAAGCAATAACAATGTATTACTTTAAAGAGAGAGAGAGGAAAGACATACTACTATTTATAATCCATTAGTTCTCGCACAGAGTATTTCCCACCTTCCCTAGTCTCAACAACTAGTTCAGTTCTACAGACCACTTTTTTTTTTTTTTTTAAATTAATACTCCCAGAAAATTGTTTTATTGCCTGCTTGGTAATAAAAAAAAAGGTTATGTGCTTTTTTTAGCAGGTGACACTTTTTTAAAGTTATCTCTAAAAGCACATTCACTTCTATTTCACTACCTTCCTCCTCAACTGCATGATCACACTTACATACCAAAACAAAGTGCGAAGTAATTGTCTTCTCTTTGCATTGTATACAAGTCAAAAGTCTATACTGCATGAGGAGAAAAAATATTGTTCAACTTTTCGCATCGCTTCCTGATCTCTTTGTAGGTATGCCTACCAATTCTGTTTACCAAGTCACTGTTGCTGTAGAGACTAACCAAAAAAATGACAGAACACAACCTGCTGCTTCCCAATTCAGGAGAAAGTCTTTTACTATGCTAACAAGATACATAATAGTCACACACACGCAGATGCCTTCAAAGAACCTCTCACGCTCTTGTAAGGCTTGACTCTCCTCCACAAAAGCAACAGCAGAGCTTTACAAAGTTCTTATTTCAGACAGTACCGCCTACAGACTCAACACTGACATATCTGACAGAGCACACATATTCTGAAAAGCTGTTTTGTTGTTGTTGCTTACCTTCTCAGACCAAGCTCTGATTATAAATTTCTTAGAAGTACCGCTCTCGAGTGTTAATGCCTTCCACCAAATAGTGCATGTTTTTAATCTTACCCACAAAACACACAGTCCTTTGACCAAGTACAGACAAGTTCAACTACTGCATTCCTAATGGCAAGAACACTATAAACAATTCTAAGGGGCTGTAACCCCACAGCGTAACATCTTTAAGTGCTCAGCAGATAACTGAAATCCAGAGCCTCATCAACTGGCTTTTTCTTAAATGAGTGCAATTTACATTACCCTCCCTCAGTCCACGGAATCCAGCTGGGCCCCCCTCAGCTGAGTCCCAGAAGAGAAAAGTTGTGACTTAAAAGCTTAATTTTTAAAGCATTGATTATTTTTTTTTTTTTTAATATTAACGGTTTAGAGTTTGTACAATTTTTAAACTTTATTGATTTTTATCTATTAATTTGGGGCTAATAAAACTAACATTAGCATGTGTGTAATAACATGACAGATGGCTAGTTGAACCACCGCTGGTTTTTTTGACATTTAGGATTTGTTAGCCTGTATGTTTGCTTTCGATACAGAATGTTTTAACTTTGCAATAAGTCGACTGATGCCCTTATTTTACATATAAACATAGTTTTATGTATTTTTTTCCCTCAGGGGGAAAGACTATTTATTCTGCAAGCACATTAGAGACAAGAATATTGATTGTAACTCTATAGTCTGTCTTTTTAGGCGCTCCTTTGAATTTTTAGACCTGTTGTTACGAGAGTGGCAAACACATTCCTTGGAAAAGTATGGGCCAGTATACTTTTTCCCCACGAATAAACTGTTAATGAATTTTAAGACAGATATCTTTTAATCAAATCCTTTAATTGGATTATGTTGCTCTGTGTTGGCCAACCTTTGTAGCACAGCAAGTCGTGTGGCTCACTCAAGTGCCAGAGAGGAGATCTCTACGCTCCAGCCTCAACTTTGTGTTGCCTTCTCTCTTCTCCTATTCTGTATGTGAGCAATGCATACCCTGCTTTCTCAGAGTTTCACTCACACCGTGGATCCTGTGCAGCAAAGACGCACAGGTAAACACCTGTCTTTTCTCCTTTTCTGCAGAAATTTGTGTGTTTGCCAAGAAAGAGGGCAAGTGGGGACTTTTTCAGGTAATGACTCAGCACACTGTAGCTTCCCTGGGTAGACAGGAGAGCAGTACAGGCATCAGCTGTGTAGAATGTGTACTGCAAGCACAGAGTGAGAGCAAAGGGACTACAGGGCCTCCAGAGAAGGCTCTGAAGAGCTTATCCAGCTCCACAGTCACATTTCAACCCCTCAAGGTGCTCCCCAGAAAGGGAAAAATGAGGAGATGGCTTGATTTATGCCAGAGTGTGTATTTAAAAAAAAACGCAAACCACGACACCTCCCCCCCCCAAAACTAAAACCAAAACCCAAACACGTACTGAATTAAAATCTGCATATCATACAATTTTTTGTTGTTCTGATGCATGCTTTGCATGTTTTTGCCTGGGTAGGAGGCAAAAAATTCTCACTGCATTCTCATCCATGAAACAAATAAATTATTTTGAGGTCAGTTACACATTTCTCCACTGCATCCTCATCTCAATTCAGATGAGATTAGTAAAGACAAGTGGGTCTTTCTCCTCCACCTCTTGCAGTTATGGAATGACCTACCATCCTAGGTAATCCAGCAGTCAGGCACAGAATTACATGGGCTTGTCAATGCCATACAGTTACCCCCACTTTTGTTCTTGCAATGCTATTAACCATCTTGAGTGATCAGAGAACTCTGCTTGGGACTGCAAATATTAAGGCATCTAACAACAGGTAGTACAAATTCTGTATTGTGGAACATGGCTCTGTTCAATATAATGGGGATAAATAATATTAAGAGCTCCATGGTTTTGCCCTCCAAAGAATTCTTAACACAGTTTGGAGAGGCAGTAAAACATAAAGCTCTTACAGTGTAAGACAAAGATTTCCTCAATGTGACAGGAGCCATGGAGATAGTGTGTTCCTTCATAAAAGCAGACAGCATTTCTGCCTACAGAAGGCGATCAAACAAATAACTATACTATCATCTTGGGAAATAAAATCAGAACAAAAGTACATATCAAGAAAAGGGAGTCATACAAAATCCTTCTGGTGTTTGGGAGCTATGGCTGACTTGAGTTTTTGGTTGCCTTCCACACCTCTGTTGCTGAAGGAAAACTTATTCAAAATAGGCCTAGGAGGATTACAAGCACATTAAACGACTCAACTGTCTGAAAGTACCGAGTATGTGCAGTTCCCACACTTTAAGAACAGAAACTAAAATCTCATCTTTCAACTAAGAACTCAGAATCCAAGAGGCTCATTAGTATTCAATTAAGGTACTAGATTTTTTTTAAGTATTGCTAGAGATGGGGACATGTATGCCAGACACACATCATTACAATTTAGACACATTTGAAAATACAGTTCTTGGTTTTTAAAATTATTTGTCTGTATTATTAGTACTTGATTATCCCATGAAATTGCAGTCCTAAATTTTCCAAATGTTATGGAAATCCTTTTCTTATTAAAATTAAAACATAAAATTATTTTTAGTAGTTCCCTGGAAAAGATTAAGAAAAGTAATAACGGATTTTAGCTGAAACACAATGTGATAATAATTAGTAAGACAGTAAAGAAAAAGTGGCTTTTTTGTAATGAACTGGAAAAAGTAAGGAGCTTTCCATGGAGACCGTAAATTCAGAAAAAAGGAAAAGTAACAACACTTGCTTAGAAGACCATAAAATTAAAGAACTTTTAAAAGTAGGCTAACACACAGTATTGCAAACAGCATATTTCCAAAAACATGAGTATACACAGCATCTTACCTGTACAGTAGGAACATCTGCAAATGCCTTAATAAAATCATCCTCATCCACAGATCCAGCCCCTCCTTCTTTAGAGGAACCTACATTTATGTAAAATACTATTAAACAGTATGCAATGTACATCCAGGTTTTCAAACTGACAATGTAACTTAACATAACTTAGAAAAATCCTAAACATTCATCATGTGTAAAATTGCAAGACCTTGAACTCTGATTTCACCATGAATAACAAAAAAGTCGAACTTCTTTTTTCATCAAAAACAAACAATTCTGAACAGTTTCCAATTTGACAAAATTAATTATTTTTTTGTGTGTGTGTTTAATTGGAAACATGTTTAGTACAACAATCCTTTAGTAGCTGTTTGCATAGAATTCTGAGACCTCCATCCTGATAATACAAATGTTCCCAAATAAAGCAGACAATTTCAAATTATTTACCAAAGCACGAATAACTTGTCATTAAATGGAATTCCCCTGGATGAATTTTCACCTTAACACGCGTGCCACAAGCAATCAGCCCCGCAATGCATAGTACACCTATACAATGCCTTTACCTTGTGCTTCCCAGTATTCTCATGAGGAAGTAAGATGTATGAGGTGCATTTCTCAGTCTCAAAGCTCCAACAAGCTCTTCAACAAAGAAAGCAAGGACGTGGTGAAGGGAATGTTGTGTTGGAGCAAGATCTGAACTCCACTGATTGGCGGCCACCTTCTCAGAGCACTCATCCTCACTCCACAGCGTGGCTCCAGGATTGTTGTCACCCGCAGGAAGGTCCCAAGAACCTTCCAGACATATTGCTAAAAAGCTGTCATACCAAAAAACATTTTCTTTCCAAAAGCTAGCAGGGCAACTATGCAAATAGAGCAGTTACTTCTGTGAAAGGTAAATGATGGACCCATTCTAACATAACAGGCAAAGACTGCCCCAAATCCGAAGTTAAAGGATCAGGGAAGAACACCAACAGGTAACCTGCTGGTTTCGCACTGGTATACAGTTGTCAAATTTCATGAAAACTAAGGCAACTCTAAAAAAGAAAATAACTTGGAACCAGTGTCTGGATCTCACTTTCTTGCAAATTCTAGGATTACCAAGAAAGCCCTCTTTTTAAAGGAATGAACTCAAACTTGCTATAAATCAAAGAATGAGGTCATCAGATCCAGGCTGCACTACAAGCCTAAAACTCCAAGTACAAGGTAAAGCTTGGCAGAATCCTTAAGTATCTTCAGTAATTGAATCAGGCAGATAATATGTCAAGACAGGTTAGCAGCATGGAGATAATCAGTCCAGTAGGTGATTTCCTTCTTGAGAGGAAAAAAAATACCCCTTAGAGCAAATGAGCACTTGGGAACAAGGGTCCTGTCTGAACTCTTTCAGGGTCAGGCCAAGAGGATAGATGGCAGAATGTCCTCCCTAACTTGCAGAGCACAGCTGAAATGGAGGCATCAGGCACAGAAGACATGTATTTCACTAACTACGGAACAAATAATATAAGGAAAAAACAGGTCAGGCTGAGTGGTCAACTAAACAAAAAGCTAGAACTTCTTGACAAATGAAACCCTTGGTGGCTGCACTCTTCAAAAACGTTGCACGGTTTACAGTCCCTGATCTCCTATCTATAGTGCAGGGAATTATGTCTGCTGTGTTATTATTTCTGTAGTTCAGAAACATGAGGGTCCACTACCACTACAAATTTGATGTCAAACTTATTAGACATCAACACCTCTACACCGAACAAAATCTCGCACTGGTTTTTGTGGCTGCTTAGTGTAAAAGTGTGAAGCAGTAATGGATTGATACAGGCCCTGTAAATGTCAGTGCCTGAGGCAGTCAGCAGCCGTGCTGTTTAGGAAATAGGGCTGCAGCCCAAGCGTGCCGGCAGGTCATGCTCATAAACACCACACAGACAAATGAATCCTTATGGGGAAATGCCCATTCCACATTTACCCTTCACAGTTCTTTTAACACTGAATATATTTCAGTTTTTAGACTTAGTAGGGGCAATGAAAAAAAAGGAGAAACAGTATCTCAGCAGAACAATTGGAAAAATTCGTCCAATAAATTCTCAAAACTCTTCATGTCATATGTGACCTGCTCCTATTGCAGGATCTGATGCCTGTCTAAGCACAATTAGAAATTAAAGTATTTACCACAGTAACTGAAGAATGAAGGCAATAGCTTCCATTTGCATTACACGGCAGAACATTGCTTTTGTGCCTACACTCCGGTGTGTGAGCAGAGCTGAGAAGGGGCTGACAGTGGAAACAGAGGGACTGACAGTGTTGGAGCTCAGGGGTATTTGTAGAGATGTGTGGGAAGCCCTTACTTGCTTCTCACCCACATGGTGCCTGGCTCCAGTCTACATTTTCCACATTCAGCTTGTTTGAAGGCTAAAATATCCCCCCCGATCTCAATACAGAAGCTTCAAAGAGAGGCCATGCACAGAGTATACACGTGCAGACGACTTGAGTGGAAAAAACATTCAGCACACTGAAAACCTCTTTCTCGATGTATGGTTCTCTGCACATTTCTAGTCACAAGCAGAGAGCGGGGCACATACAACCACCGTTTGCTTACGGAGATACCGTCATATTAATAAGCCTCATTCGTTACTGGCTATGATTTACTTGCAATCGTAGCAGCCCACACCTTGGCCTAGCACGTCTGTCTGAAGGAGTCTCAGGTCCGAGGAGCACTGTGATGCTGGTCGAGCTTGCAGAACGAGTGCAATCAAAATGAAAACCATTGTTAGGTTCATCTTGATTTTGAGCAGTATGAATCCCTGGCTCCAGAGAGTCTCTTTCTTTTTGCAGACTCTGGTCCTCCATGAGTCTCTGTTAGAACAAAGGACACTTGAGGGTGAATGTGCACTGGAGATGTGCTAGATAAGCACTGAAAACTTGAATATGAGTCAGAGCTGAGGGCTAAGATATTCACCTTGCCTTTGATTTCAGCACACTTCAAAATGGCTTTTCTTTTACCCTGCCTTCTCCTACTGATACTATGGGATCAAGAGCTCTGTGACTAATTAGTAAGAGTGTATTAGTTGTACTTAAATGCTTTCGTGCGTCTCAAAATACCTCTCAATTTAGGTATTACCAACAAACATCTTCAACCTAAAGATCATTTGACCAAAGGATTTGGGCTTTTAGAATGGAATACACTCAAAAATTGCCCTGTTCAGAAAAGATGAGGAAGAATCAAAAGGTATTTATGGTATTTATTGGTCTTCAGCCTGACTTAATAGTGGGCAACAGAACTAACCAATTGGGACCAAATTGTGTCCATTTAATTCCTAGAACAGATGAAAAATACATAACAACGCCAGGAAAATGATGGTTTCTTGGAGCAGGCAGCCCACATACGTCAGACTCTGAGTCATTCTGAAGAGTTTTCCTCACCCATTTTGGAAACGCAAAAGCCAAGGAGAGCATTTTCATTCTGTAACTATCAGCTGTAAATCCTTCAGTGGTTTAGGATCCAATCTTTTTCTCTGCATTACATTTCCTCAGCCATCTCTGAGTACTATCATACTCAATACAGGCAATATTGGGTTTTTTTCTACAAATATGAACTCTAAATAAAAATATACAAAAGCTTTTAGTCCTTTCAATTTTTGTATAGCTTAAATATTTCTGAATCCAAAACAAACACATATTCACTCAGCATCTTATAAAGACGTACCTTACCACAGGAACTTTCTCACTTAATTAAAACAACTGATATAATTTAACTAGGATTTACCCCAAATCTGAGTTCAGCTACTTCCCATTAGGCTGAACTGAAACTGCTTATGCCATTAAGAAACGCAGTAGATTTCCTGTCAAATTACTTAAAGGATTTCAAAGATTTGGCAGAAGAGCCTAACATTATTTTAGCATACATTATTTGACAATTTGCAGAATTCTGTCATTTTTAAATTATTTTCATTGATCTTCTGAAGTTCTTGAAATCAGTTATTAAGAAAACTCAGAGAAACCCTAAATATCTTTCCTGGACCACAGGAGAATGTGAATGCAATGCTAGCTGATGTCCCTTACACAACAGCTGTAGTGCCAAGGTCTGTACGCTCTAAGAGACTGCCATGGTCTGGGCTTCCCAGTCCTCTGGAACAAGAGGAAAATTGATTTCCTTGGGGAGTAAGTAGCACATTTGACTTTCTTGAAGCTGTCTTCCAGGCCAAGATTAGGGGGTCCCCAAATAAGGACCTCCAGCTGCCATGGGGTGCGTTTCAGTCAGGCAATGATCCAGATGGGGTATCAGAACTAAATCCTTTTTCAGCAGCCTGAGTAATGAATCTGTTTTCATATTCCCGACAGCTGAATCCCCCCTGCCAAAGAGGGCTCTTCACATAATGAGTATCTGAAAGTACTGTCAAACCATATCAACGGTCATCTTCATATCACTAATCTGTAAAACCAACCCTATTCAAGGGCATCCCTCTATCTGTAAAAACCAGAAATCACAAAGGAGAGTGCAGAGCATTACTGCAATAACTACTGCCAGTGACTGAACAACAGCTATTAATTGAGGGGTTACTTTAAGCATTACATAGATTAACACAGATATGTTTGCTCCGTACCAGTTTCCATGACTGAGCCCCACCATTACACTCAAACATTACTCTATTTGAAAGAGTCAATTCACTTGCTACCACCTTTACAGTGGCAGTCCCAAGATCATTACTGATAATCGTCTTCACACAGAAATTCAAGCTGTGAACATCTGTGCTCCTCTTGCATAAGCCATGAGCAGCCAAGAGAGGAGTTATCTATCCCCAAGAGCCTACACAAAGTTCTGCATTGCCAGCACTGGCTCCCTGTGGACAACTCACTTCCATTTCAAACTGCCAGATTTTTTGCCCTTTGCTAAACTGGTCATGTTTAAACCAATAACCTCCTCTTGCTTGCTCCCTTCCTTGCCCAACTAATGAGTTGGAAAGAGGAGCGCAGCAAAGCCAGAGTCCAACTGTAATGTAAAATCTGCGGGTTTTGTCTCTGCTCCTGGAGGAGGAAGAGACTGAGATAGATAAGGAGATTAAACTATTGGACAATATTCTCAATCAGAAATCGATCTCAGTTACAGAGCCAGCCAGCATAGACCACAGAGTAACACAATTTTATGTGTAGAAAACTGAGTGAAAACATTGTTGTTCATTTTTTACAGCAGAAGTGTGACCCTCATCTAATAAGCCTTAAAAGATGACCCCTGTCCCCCATCTACGAGCAAACAGCAGCAGCCAAAGCGGGACTATCATCATGCTCTCTCACCACCACCCTCAGACTCTTGTCTGCAGACCTCCTTCCAGTTCAGCCACAGATTTGGCAGCTTGTCCACAGAGCATAATTATATACAGCAGATAAACCCTGCCACCTCCCTCTGCTATACATACAGCTTTTCTTATGTCCTTATAGCTCTATTTATAAAGGCTCACATCTAAACTGTGAACCATCATGGGAAATATTTGCTGAAGGAGAAAGCTGACCTGTCCTCTGCTTCTGATCCATCTGTCCTGTGGAAGCAAGGACATTTTTTAACATCCCATCCTGTCACAATGCTGAATATTTTCTTGGAACTATCTGTCCTGCAAGCACCTTCCTTACCAGAAACACTTCAATTTCTCAGGTACCTCTTCTTCAGAATAGCCTGTCCCTGAAAGTTGGGAGTTGCTGTAGGTCTTCAGAAATGAAGCACTTCAAAACAATGGGTTTTGAAAAGCTCCCAGCCGAAGATTTTCTTCTGGGATGAAGCCAGGTTTGGGGCTA